CGGCCCGCCTCCGCCGCTTTCCCCCCCGCCCCCCCCCTCCCCTGCCTGCAGGCACCGGGCAGCACCCAGCCCCGCTCCCAGGGCCCTCTCTGCTTCCTTTTGTTCCCCTGGATTTCCTAAGCCTTGGGTTTTTTTAGATGGTGTGGGTTGGTAGGGATTTTTCAGGGAGGGAGGTGGAAAGCTGGCACAAGGTTTGAGAAGGTCTCACCCACCCGCCTCCCCTCTGCCCGCTGCTGCCGAGGGTCCTGCCTGGGTGTCTTCATCCCGTGCTCCCTTCCCGGGCATCACCCTGGCACTGCGGCCGTGCCGGTCCCCAGGCCGGTGTCCCCAGCATCCCACACCATCCTGCTCCCACATGTGGAAGCCGGGGGCTCGGGGCAGGGTCCCACTGGGGGGTTTGCTTTGGTGGCACCACAGACCTCGGTCTCTGCATGAAGCTGCATCTGTTGGACTTCGGCCCCAGAGCAGATGAACCCTATTTCCATGTAAGAAGGAGAGTCTGGGCTGGTTTGGTTTAAACGCATTCCCCACCAGCTCCGGCAGCACCGCCTGAGGTCTGGTTTCAATCAGAGGAGGAATGCCTGCCCCCGGCTTTGCGCCGCACAAGCGGCCTGGCTGCACTTTGCTGGGGCTGCCCTGGGCTGGGGGGGGGACAGCAGCTCCCCGCGCTGTCACCTCCCTCGCCCAGCTCTTCCCAGCCGTGTTGAGGACATGGAGCTGGGGGAATCCCAGTCTTTCGATACTACCGGTCTTTATGAGTAAATTAGCGACCGAGCGTGCCAGCAATGCGGACTATGGCTGTGTGATTAAACTGGGATCCCACGACATCCCACGTGGGCTCACCACCCCCACGTGATGGAGATGCAGGCAGGGATGCCACCCCAGCTGGATCTGGGGGGGTCCTGTTGGCTGTAGCCCCTTTTAACCTCCGGCATGTTGTCCTCCAGCCTGTTCCCGCAGTGACGGCTCGCAGGCCACAGGCGCTACTGGTGCAGAGCTGGAGCATCGGGATCGCGCACGGGTCTCCTGGGATCAGAGAAGCTGGGGAAGGAATCCTGCAATAAGTACAGAGCATTTATACAGGCTTTAGGCTAAATCCTTCCCTCCCGGGGTGGCTGGCTGGAGCAGGCACTGCAAAGCCGTTTCCTAAAGTTTGTTATTCCTTTTCAGGCCAGGGCTGTGCAGTTGGCAGCAGGGCTGGATTAGGAAGCGGGAGAGAGAGAGGCATTGCACGCTGGGGGCGATGCTGGGTGAGCCGGGCTGGCAACCAGGGGCTTTGTTTCAGCAATGTTCAGGGTGACAAGTCCAACATCTCCGGGTGAGATGGCACAGCAGCCCGGAGAGGCTCCGGGAGGAGGACGAAGGAGGAACACAACAACCCAACACGCACGCGTGTCCTGCAATAGCCCTCGGCCACATCGGTGGGAGCAAAAATGACAACGAGCCCTACCAGCATCTTCCAGCTCCCACCCTGTCCAGCTCAGAGGGAAAAGGGGCAGAGTCAGGGCAGCTCTTCTGGATGCCTTGGGCTTTACCACACTGAAGCCTTCAGCCTTATTTCGCTTAAAATCCCGGGACTGCTCCTGTTCTGGCCAGGTCGGTGTCTCGAGGGTCTGGAGAAGTGGTCCTCGCTGGCCTCCCAGCATCACGCCAGCGCCAAGGGCTTGGGGCAGCTCCTGCAGCTCCTTCTCAAAGCACTCC